CCTAATTTTCACAAATTTTATCGTGTTATATACATTTTTTTATCAGCTCATGGGCATAGCTGCTGGAGATGCTCCAGCTCCGTTGGAAAAAGCCACCCATTCTGAATCATTGAACTTTGCCCTGCTTCATGCGCCCACTAGGACTTTGCAAGAGCTGTTTGAGCGAACGGTAAAGGATCAAAGTTGTTCCATGTGAAAGTGTTTAACATCGGGTTATTTGTAGTTAAATGAACGTGACTATACTCGTGCGAAGAGCCTAGCCGAGAGCTACGACACCATTGATATTGATATCGTCCTTAAGCGAGAATGGCGAGACATCTGCAATAGCCAGGCGGTGACTGTGGAAAATGTTGACACCATCTTGGTAATTGTTTCACGGGGATAAATTGCAGGTTATGTAAAATAAGAAACATATATTTAGCGACAAATACATGACAAGGATTGGGTAATCGAAGCATGCAGCTCTAGCGATGCACCTTCCCTGCAAGTTCAACAAGCTCTAGTGGATTTGGGTAAATACTCTTATTATTGTGCATTTCCTTTGTTTTTTTTTAGTTAGGAAGTTTTTATATTCGATATTTTTTCAGGAACATCCTTTCCTAGCGCTCCGTTGCTCGCCCAGGTTCGACTCCATCACAATGCGCGAATGCTTATAGTATGCGAGGATGTCAATGAATATATCGAAGTACGCAATTTATCCTGCCTGGATGCAGCTTTTCGATTTGCTGAGGTTAGTGCATTAATCACATTTATCATCACTTCAAATTTTTTTTCTGAGTATAGGATTTTATTACATTTCGGAATCCTATATTCGGCATATATTCTTACTTCATCGAACATCAAATAGGCATTAAACTTAGTGTTTAAACTTCAGAATTTGATTTCAGCGCCTTAATCTTGTTTCTCTGGATAGATTAATTGAACAGAATTATTCGTTGTTGGTACCGTTCATACTCGATATTCTCTCACACATTCCGCCGAGTGTGCCACCAAATCGATATGAACATCTGCTTCCAGAGAAGAATGGAAAAGAAGTGCAAATAGATAAGGTGTTGTTTTCCTTCAGCATATATCATACTGGTTGTCAGGTGTAAACATACTCTTTAGGCACTGAATGCTCACTTGGACTCTTTATTTTTGCTTGCTGGTGAAGGGAAAGAAGTTGAGGAAGCTGTGAAAATTTGTAATACTG